TTATACGTGGTGAATCAAGAAGCAGATCTTTGAAGTTTTGGACTTGAAGAATGATCTAAGTTTAAGGCAAGTATAGCATGGGATCTTACTTGTTGTCCTATACACCTTTAATCATTTAATTCATACTGCATGTGTCTACATTGACTACCACTAAGGATTTCCTAGTACTTTGTACCTTGTACCTTAAAACCTATGGGGTATTGCATTTGGGTAGTATGATGCTAGTGCTCAACTAAAGCCATGATCTTGTAACTTGAATAATGGAGTATGCAATAAACATTAAAAGATACTTTTTAGCAACATGGAATCAAGGGGGCTAGAGCATTGGGCTATTTTTATGGTGCTCTAGATTCCTCTCCCTAAGGACTTATCTGTAAGTGATCATCTAGGACTTATAGTACAGCTGTGAGGGCTATATGGCTCTGGCTTTAGCTCAGTATGAGAACCTTTTCTAGCTTGTTAAAGGTTACCTTTTATTGGTGTAAGAATGGCTTGCCAAATCAGGTATAGTGTGGCCTCTATCCCCTTGTGTATAGGCTACGCGTCATTGTGCCATCGGGAAGGGAGGCTCTACATCTGCTTGTCGAGTGAATCTAATGGCCCTAACTTGTTAGATGAACCTTTGAAAGGCTTCATAGTGAACCCTACCGATCTTCCTTAGTAGTGGGTCAAGAGGCTAATCACCTCGAGCGAAAGGGTAAATCACGACTCACAGTGAAAGTGTACAACCTCTGCAGATTGTAAAACTGGTATATCTGCCGTGCTCACGATCACGAGCGGCCTTGGAACCCTTACGGAATAGATGATCACTAATGGTTAATGATGATGAACACAGATGATACTGATGATGAAGAAGCTCATTAATAATTACTGTTTATGCTATTCATTATTCATGTTTACCTGATCATGTGTCTATATGGGCTTGTGATAAACTTGTTGCTACTCAATTGCTAAAACCATGACTCATTAAAAGCTAATCGTAGTTAAATCAGTGCTAGCCTTTGAGCCTCATGAACCCCATATTATATTTGTTGAGTACGACATGTACTGACGCTTGCTTTATTTTTCATATATTTGGATAAAAATTCCGGATGGGTACCAGATTGCTAGAGTTTGGAGGAATTAGTCTTGTGATCAACCAATCAGTTGTCCCTATGAAATTGGAGTCTTCACCCGAAGATCGAAGCTGTCTTTCCACTATTTGTTGTCTAAGGTTATATCCTTTATACTAAGTACGTTATATATTGAGCATTGTCTTTTGATATTACCCTTATTTGTAGCTATATGTGAGATTTGACTTCCTGGGTTCACATATGGTGCGTATCTGGTTTTATTCTTCAAACCGGGTGCTACAAAGTGGTATCGGAGCAATACTGACTGTAGGACGCAAGCCTAGTAGAAACTGGTCGATCTAAGGTTTAGAATTTGCTACAAAACTACTTTTTCATCTCCTTGACTAGTTGAATTGATTATTTCTTATCCTTGTCCTATTTTCTTCTCTCCTTGATAGCTTCCTTTGAGCTATTGCTTCTTATCTCCTTGATTTTTATTTCTTTGGTTTACTAAAGTTTTCTGATCTCACCTTATTTAAATTTGAGATTACCTTTCATCATAATCCACTACTTAGGATACACGCCATTGCTACAGAAGCACGTGTAGTTTCGATGTTGTGATGCATGCTTGTCTTGTTTGGTGTGTTGCTTGTTTGTCATCCCTATCTTTGTGATCCAAAGGAAGGCCCTAAAGACTACACTAACATGAGGATCTTCGTATGGAATATTCAGAGTTTAGCAAAACTCCTGTTAAGTGGGGTAGCATCCTTTACAAAGCATCGTTGAACTTTATCTTCCTTGCTATCCTGTGTAACTCCCAAATCCACTTTATCATGCAAGTTCATTCCTTCATCTCATGAATCCCAAATCAAGGAAGTGTGGAGGTGTGAAGATCTTTATCTTTCTCCCTAGTCTCTCCAAATATCGGGACGAGATTCCTGTTAAGCGGGGTAGTTTGTCACACCCCAAAATTTATGATTTTGGGTTGTGCATAGAAAACACTAAATAAAATAAATTTATGGTGCGTATCTGGTTTTGTTCTTAAAACTGGGTGCTACAATTTTTCTTTTTGCGAGACTCAATACAAACACAAACACTCATATAAACGCACACACACTCATCCCTACAAATGTATGTGTGCAAATTAACACTACCCCTATGAGCACCTCTCATAGACTGAGGTAACCTGACAGATGTTGAGATTGATGAAGTCACCATATGCGCATCGCTATCGACATGCACGTCACCTACTACTGGAAAAATAGCACCGTTAAATCCTATAATAAATCCAGGGAAAGGTGAACTTACCTACCCGTGCCAAGTCGAGAGATTCCACCACAAGGAACAGCTGTTGCAATTATACTAGCAATCGTATAGTACTCAAACAAACCAACTAGATCAATATCATTTGTAATTTTGTATTGTTCCAAAAGAAAACTATATCCAAATTCTCGACGGACCACTAATCATCTTGTCTCCAAATAGATGAGCTCAAAATACTCATCCTGTTGCTTTCACTTGCACTTCTTCTAAATGCTTGCCGCATTTTAGTGCATATTTCCTATATATATATATATATATATATATATACTTTTTCACACTAAGATGTATGCATGAAAACATTCTTCATAATTTATGGATCTGTTGTCCCATTGCATGTCACTAGGTAAAAGATGGCCTTTAGTGATGTGCGTCACATATGAGAGATAGGTGACACGCGGAGATGATGCGCATCTACATGGCCCATCACCTTTGAATGAAGAAAGGTGATGCGGCCAAATGAAGCTCGTCACATATAATAGCAGTGACTTGTTCCCTTTGACAGGTTAACTACAGGAACACAGAGAGAGCTGAATCATTGAGGATTTGTCATGATGCACTACTGGACGTTGCTCAAACATAATGAGAAACCGGGAAAGAGAAACATTGATTGCCATCCAAATAAGATGAGGTCAAGCAATTCATCCTCTCCAGAGACTGATACTAACCCCTTGTATAAGGAAGATAAGGATCACAGCAGTCGAAACCCTAGTCCAAGCTCAGCTACTGCCACCAAGATAAGGCCTCCGGGGAGAAAGCAAGCCAAGGAGAAGGAGGAGAATGAAGGAGATGGATCCTTGGTACTATCTGTGGTCCGAAAGATGATGCAAAGGAGATGGGGGCTGAGAGGAAGCAAGGGATATCCTTGGGGAATTGCAATGTTGTATGCCCACTGTGATTAGTAGAAGTGAAAAAATTCATAGTTTTTAAACCAGGTGTCTAAATGAAATTCCGATTGCACCCTTTATTATTCTTACAGTGAGCTTCGAAATAAGACCATACTTGACAATTTTTGGATTAATTTTTTTGGAATACTTTTTAAGAACCAGCACCAGCCGGGTTTATCAGCCATGATACGATGTTTTTCTCTCACAACGAACCAGCACCAGCCGGGCTTATCAGCCTAGAAACCAACCAGCGAACATGCTGAATAAATGAAACAATCATTGGCTGCAGATGTTTCATTCACCATTTTAAAGCACTATAGATGATATGACATTTTAGTAACATCAAAAATTAAATACTCCATCGAGATTGGCCTTAGCGCGTGGGCGGCACCACTGAAGACACCTCCTTCAAGCAGGCGGCGATTGACCGACCATTGACTTTCGCGAAGATTTTCGTCCAACTACAAGCAGGAAGGCCCGTATAAGCCCAATAGGAAATTGGGTCGCCGACGTGTTCCGGTAGAGAGACGTCCATAAAAATTTAAGGAACAGAACAAGCTCGGCCTCGCGACTCGCGACGACGCCAGCGAAAGCCCCCAAACCCTCCAGCAGGGGAACGAGATCCTCTACGGTTGCCCGGATGGACTTGTGTCTGCAGTTATTCATCCACGCCGTTTCTATCTGATCCAACCGTCAGCTCAAAAGAAGCTAATCTAACAGGCCTCCAACCGGCCCATGTAAGCCCATCCCGCACGGCTCTACCCCTCGCGACTCCGACCTCCGCCTCCGCCGCCGTTTCTCGTTCCCTAGGCCAGGCCACGCGGCTCCTCCGTCATCCCCGGGCGCATCACCTGAGCGCCGCGGTGCTCCCGTCTCGTTAGGTGCGACACCGGATCGGGCTGCTATCCTCATGCTCACCCACCGAGACCTACTAGCCATGGAGCTCGCACCGCCCAGCGTGGAGCGTGCAGCTCATGCCAAAGCCCAGCTGTTCCCTCTCTCGCGCCGGCCCCGCGGCCATGTTGCGCCCGTGCCGGCCATGACCATACTGATTGACAGCTCGAGCTCGTGCCCCTGACCATGGAGCTCGCGCAGCAGCCAGATGTTTCGCCTGCGCCGGCCATGGGCCCTGCTGCTCGAGCTCGCGTCGTCGACCAAGGAACTTGCGCCGTAGCCTTACCGTCGCCTCCTCTGCGCTCGTGGAGCTCACGCAGCTGACCTGCTTGCGCCGTGCTGATATTGGGTCGAAGCCCAGCGAGCAGTGTGGAGACCGTTCAAATGCTCTGTGGTTGGATACCACTGAACGGCCAGATATCGAGCGACCGCAGAGACAAGTCGGGCTGGCCAACTGCAGACGACCTGGTTCCCCAGCCGGAGCAGCGTGGCTCCTAAGATGTCTAACGACCCTAGCGGCGGCGAGGATTGTGTGGAGGCTCTCCGCCCCGAGGTGATCCCCGCTAACCCCTCCTTACTGTGCTGGGAACCCGATCTCCGTGCCAAAATTTCTTGGGGCCACGGTGCCCACCCTCGTTTTGATCCGTCCGTACTTGCCGCCTTGAGCCTCGCCAAATCCTACGCCATTCGACCCATCTATGCGGGTGCGGTGGACGGTGGACCTAGTCGGGGAGCCTGGAGTGGTTTAGGTGCTTCAACCTGGATGTGTGCTCCACTCGGCGTGGGTGCCCCATTTTGAGCTTTGGTTGCTTTCAGATCGCTGCAACAGATCCGTTCGCTTGCTGACATGGCTGCTGTCAGCAGCGCTGGTAGGTTGCTTAATTGGTTGCTGCATTAGTGCATAGATAAAAGGTTTTTAAGTTTGGTCTTGCTTTTGTGGATCTGTTAATCACTGGGTGGAACAATGCAATGGTGGAAGGCCGACACGGAGCAAATTTGCTCACCTCTTTCTGTGTAGCTACATGCGTGACCAGATTTGTTTTTAGCGATGATGCTTTTTGCTGTTTTTCTTACAGACAAGGCAGGGTTTCGAACCCTGCTGGTACATTTGTATCAATTGGTTTTGATGGGTCCCCTTTTTTTATGGCTTGCGATGTGCTGATGTTAATTATTAATTGTTCAACATCATACCACCTAAAAGTTAAAACGACTCCGGAACTCAAAAAAATGAATAAGGAAGTGCAACTTTGTTATACACTCTAATTGTGAACCTATACATCCTTAAGCCTTGACCTGCCCAGTTGATGCAACTGGGGAAGCTACTTGACGATGCTAAAACCTCAAGTGCTTGGAAACACTGGCCACATGCCTTTCAAACTCTTGGTTATTCATAATGCAGACTTACTGCGAGTGTACTGCGCCCTTTTTCCTGGATTTATTCTGTCATCCAGAGAAATACTCTTCTTTTTAGCTAATCTTTTTTTTCTATGTCGATAAATTTAGACTAATGTTGTCCTATACTCTTTATCTATAGGGCGAGACTCATCTGCCTGACGATGGGTTGTTAAAATCCAGGGATAGAGAAAAAGACAGGGACGGGGATCATCAGAGGGATAGAGATCAAGGAAGGGACAGGGACAGAGAGAGGGAACGGGATCGCCACAACAGACATCATCGGGATAGGAATGAACACCGAGACTGTCCTGACAACCATGATCATCACAGAGGCCGTGATTCTGAAAGGTATCTCTGTTTACATGCACCTTATCATGCTTAAGAAACAGTGCTCTTTTTCCAAGAGTGGCCATTTTGGTTCTTGTTGATTTTCATGAAAATTTACTCAATTATGTTCCGGACAGTGTTTCAGATTGTTAGTGAGGGACTCACATTTATAGTTTGCTTGTATTATGTATCGAATTTTTAATTCTGGTATATATAATAACTAACAGGAGAAGAGGCCGCGAAAGAGATGGCCACAGGAGGCATCGTTCTCGATCAAGGGGCAGGGATCGCAGATCTTGATCTCGTTCTCGTTCAAGAAGGTAAGAAAATGAAGGTCCTGAATGGGTGTATAATCAGTTATTGATATCTACACACACAACCTGTTTATACCATATTGAAGTTACCTTTATGGCCTTTATACCACTACTTATGCAGAAAAGCCAAATCGATGTGTTTTCCTATATGTATTATGTTTAAAATTTTCCTGTATTTTGCCTTTGCCCCTTATTGCCTCAAAATTTATTTGAGCCATGCACAATGCATATTTCAATAAGTGCGGCTAATTGCTTTAGCTAAGAGATAGCATCTATGCCTTTGTTAGATATAATCACTCATCTCATGTAGTATTCAAAATTCGGTCTTCCATTTTATACTTCAGTTTCATATCATTCACTGATACCCATTATGTTGAGTTGAAGCAGCAAGCGAGTGAGTGGGTTCGATGCGCCACCCCCACAAGCAGCTTCTACGTTTCCTGTTATTCCAACCCCAAGTATGCTCTCATCAACTCAGTTAATTATTTGTATTTTTGTATCTGTAATTTTGTATATTTTATTTATAGTTGTCACTCACCAACCACTCATTTCCATCACACTGCTATACTGTTGTTATGACAACTGCCATTACTACAATTTCCTAGCATTTCATCAGCCCAGTAATAATTTTTGAACTTTGCATCAGTGAATACTGAGGCCCCCTTTGGAATGTGGGATTGTTTCCGGAATCCTGCGTTTTTCCTGTGAAATTATTAAATTAAACTGAATCATGTGGGATTCCTATGAAATTCCTGTGTTCCAAAGGAGGCCAATAATGCTGGGCACCATAAAACTTTGCAATCTTTGGCAAAAATGCTAAAAGATGGTCACCTAGAATAAGGTGATAGCTTGAGGAAATAATAAAGTGGGACTATTTATTGTAGCCTTGAATAAGGTGCTTGGAGAGATACTTGTCCTGAAGGATACACCTATAGTGAAAGTGTGAACAAATGATTGCTTTCTCTCTGTACCCTTTAAGCATCCGCTAGAGATCTTATATGTGTGATAACATCTTCTAGTGCAAATAAGTTCACTTTTTGTTTTACCGTTATCTAATAACTGAAAACTGAGCAAAATTTTCTGCTTGTGTTCTTATTGTTGTTTGTTTGTTTTGTGTATGTATATGGTATAAGAAGGAAATCTTTGGTCACTTGCCCCACTGCCTCCAATGGAATGAGCTGCCAACTGTAGTGTTGAAACTAGCGGTTTCAGACAACGTGGGGGAGACAGAGGCCTCCGCCCGCTAGGCGTCGCCCTCGGGCGGAGACCCGGGATAGGCACAACAGGTGAGCGTGTAGGACGCTGGAACAGAAAGCTAGAGTTTCATTAATTCATCCACCATCCGCCTTGCACGGTTACAAGTGTTCCCTATTTATAGGGCTCAACTACCTCTTGACAGAATTTATTGCAATGCCCCTCAACTGCTACAGTACATTCCCGGAATATTCTGCCACTAGTCTCTTGTTTGCGGGGCAATCCTGTCACACCGTCTTCAAGTAACGGGCCTCGACAAGCGGCCGGCCCACCGTGCCTCGGTCTTCGGCCTAGAGGCCTGGGTTCCCGACGCTGGCCTCCGTCTTCAGGGGCACGTCGTTGCCTTCGCGGGTCTCCACCGGTCCGGAGGTCGGAGACACCGGCCCGCCGTGCCCCGGTCTTCAGCCCAGAGGCCTGGGTTCCCGACGCTGGCCTCCGTCTTCAGGGGCACGTCGTTGCCTTCGTGGGTCTCCGCCGGTTCGGTCGGAGACATCATCCGTAGGTCTTTGCCTGGCCGCGCGGGGGCCATGCTGGCGCGCTCGTGTGGACCACGGGCGCCTGCGCTTAGGTACCTGCACACACTTAGGCAAGACTGTTTGTTTAATTAGTTCAGGGGTAGGGCGGCCTCCGCCCTCATCGCCGGAGATGCCCGTCAGCCGAAACGGGGCGGCGTCCGCCTGAGCGGTTGGAGATGTCTGTGCCTGGCCCGGGTGGAATCCGCGACAAGCTCGCTGAGCCTCGTGCAGCGCCCTACGAGCATAGCCAGGAAAGTTCCTTTAGTCAGCGCCAGATCTGCACCCTAAGATGGTCGAAGACACCTTGGCGACACTCCGCCGTCGGAGGCCTTCGCCACCCACCGAGGCCGTGTTACAATAGTTCCCCCCTTTTGAGACCATGGTTCGCCTGAGCGTGCCGTGAGCTCAAAATGCCTTGACCAAAGGCATCTGCGGGGGCGGAGGCCACACGCATTGGCTTCTCCGAGCGAGGCCCCGCTACTTCCCCCCTGGCCCGCTCTAGCGCGGCCGCTGGTCTCGTTGAAAGTAGCCGTTGGGCAGCAAATCTAGCCGTTGTCCTACGGTGTGGCCGTTTTTGCCGTATCAGTTTCCGTTGTATACCTCGCGACTTTTTCGGAGATGACCGTTGTGCGGCAGGCGAATTCTCTGGAGATGACTATTGTATGGCGGGAGCCGGACCGCCTACCCGCCGCCTATATAAGGGCGTTGTTGGTGGCAGGGTCCCCCCCCGCATTGCTCATTCGCTTTCCTTGCCTCTGAGAAATCGCTCTCTGCTCTCTTCGCTTTCGCCTTTTGCTGCCCTCGCGCATTCCATCTTTCTGCTTGTGTCCCGCGCTTAGGCTGCTGTCACGGTGGCTTTCCTTTCCGCCTCCGCACAATCTCGCCGGCCCGCCTTTTTCGGACCCTATCGCCACCTTCTCGGCGTTAGGGCCGCCGGCTAGGGTGCGCGCTTTGAGGAGTGCATGCTTGCCTCTGCCTCCGCGTTGGAGTTTGAAAAGGTAGTGGAGGAGGATTTAGGGAGTATCTCTGCTTCCGTCGGAGACCTGATCGCTACGGATTCCAGAGATATGGCGATAAAGTCTTGGGATTTTGGCCCCTCCTCCATTACTGAAGAGGCAATCGCGGAGATGTTGAAGGAATCATGTTTTACTTCTTCGAGGGTAAAAATCCCTCCACCTGGCCAGACCGTTCCGGAACCGGAGGAGGGATATGCGGTGGTCTTTCGGGACATCTTCACCTATGGCCTCCGCCTTCCTTACATTCCCTTTCTTCGGCAGGTGTTGGAGACCTTCAATGTCCAGCTCCATCATCTGACTCCTACTGCCTTCCTCACGCTTAGCAAATTGTGCTGGGTGTGTGTTTCTTATGGTGCCGAGCCGGATGTGGACACCTTCTGCGCGTACTACGAGCTACAGAAGCAGTCGAAGAAGAGGAAGGAGGTGCGAGAGGGCAAGGAGGTGGAGGTGACCTACCAGTATGGTAGTTGCACCTTTATGTCTAAGAGGAACCAAGGCGTAGACCGCCTGGAGATCTCTTTTTGCCAGAAGGGCAAGTGGGACCACGGCTGGCTTGAGCAATGGTTCTACGTGAAGACCTACGGGGTCCGTAGCACTACCAAGGATGGCGTGGAGGTCTCGGAGTATCCGTTGACTTCAAGGATGGAGGAAATGGCGCCGCACACACGCGTGGATCCGCCGGAGGAGGCGTCTCTGGCGAGGGAGGCTTGCGACCAGGCTTTTGCGGCAGCGTGCCGCTACTCCGGTGGCCGCTACTTGGTGGAGGAGATTATGGCCTCCAACTACTGGCCCCTGGGCAAAAACAAACCAACCTTTCGGCTGGAACAGGTGAAGGTTCCCGTTTTTGGGCCGGAGGCCGGGATTCCATTCCCCCGCTTCAGCCAGTCTTTGGGGGAGGGGTGACGGAAGACAATTTCGTCTCCAAGGTTGAGGAAGCCACCGTAGGGTTGGTTGGCAAGATTTCCGAACGTGAGTACACGTCTTGGAGGGCCGTGGCGGGCACCATGCCATGGCTCAATCGAGTTTTTGAGGAGCCCGGGATCGTCTACCAGGAGCGCGAGGTTCCCGCCGAGGTCCTAGCTTCGATTGAGAAGAAGAAGAAGAAGGCCTTCGCGAAGAATGTTACGGCGGAGGCCGAGTCTAAGAAGAGGAAGGGCGTCGTCGTTGCTCGGGCGCCTGCAAAAAAGAAGAAGAGCGGTGCTCTGTTGATCGCGCCGGCCGTGTCTTCTACCGGTAGTGCGGGCGTTGCCTCCGCCGATAGTGAAGACATTCAAAGATCCTCCGTCCCGTCAGTGGACGTGCAGGTTGCGAGCAGAGAGGATCGCGGCTCTCCTGTAGCTCCAGTGTGCCCTGTGAGTGGCGCTGTGAGCGGTGTTGGGCGTCCAGGAGCCAGCGCTGCTCTAGCGCGCTCCTCGCATGGTGCTGTGAGTGTCAGCAAACAGCCGGAAGGTAGCACCGCTGAGCCTATGCCCGACATTCTTGGCGCACTATGTTCAAGTTCTGAAGAGGGCGCGGAGGCTGTCTTGCGGCACGCTCCTTCTCCCACCGTTGTTGCGCCTTCGCCCGTGCCTGTGGTCGACGTCGTGCAGTTGGAGGCCGTGCTTGCTGAGCAGGCCCCGGCGGCTCAATCTTCTTCGAGTCCTTCGCCCGTCAGGCCACTGGCTGAGGAGATCCGGCCCTTTGGGCCTTCGCCGCATGATATGGCGGAGACCTCTGCCCAGGGGGCGCGGCAAGCGGCCCAGCCTGGGCTTTTTATGAGTAAGTTTGTTTGGTGCACATTTTTTTGTTTATTGTCTTCACCCGGTTTATTTGTTTACATACCGTGTCAAGTGTTAATACTATGTACTTGTTGCTTTGTAGGCGATGTCATGGCTGGACTCCTCACCCCGGAGGAGCGAGCGGCCGCTGCCGGCATCAGGTTTGGTTCGGGGCAGCCGGGGCTGATGGAGCCGGGTCCGAGTGAGTATAGAATGTTTTTATTTTGATCATCATTTGGCCTGTTGTTATTGCCTATTTCTGATCTACCCTCTGACCTGAGCTGTTGTTGTTGTTGTTTTTTTACGTAGGCTCCTCCGACACCTCTATCTCAGGTTGGGAGGAGTGTTATCTTGGTGTTCTTGGAGACGTCGGAGGTGGTCTTTGGCTGTTGTTGTGTTTATCGTGAGATTTGCTTTTCTCACCTTATTGTTTTGTGTTTGTTTGTTCTTCTTTGAACAGATCG